TGTCCTTAGATAAATGTGCAGTGCATTAAGAGAGAGCATCAAAGTATCGCCATATAGGCACACTGCATTTTAGAAGAGCTCACTTCCAGAACTTTAGAGAATTACTATCCAGGATCTCATGTACAAAATAATCAGACCAAAGTGAAAATAGAAGAATTAGAAACTTCTCAAAACAAAGATACTTAAAGTACAATTATATACCATTAAAAAAAAGAAAAAGACATTTTTGGGAAATTGTTGTGAATGCATAGGGAGTTTTGGGCCGAGTTTTGCATTAAAAATATGTGTATATGAAATAGATGATGGAGGTAATTTGCAACGATTAGGAGCTTTACCAGAAAGTAGCTAACATCTGCAGAAAGCAAATTAGGAAAGCTAAAGTAGAAAAAGAACAAAGCAGATTCTAGAAAAAAAAGGGCTGGCTGGCTGTTAAAAGATGGTAGGATAGTCATGGATAATGGGGAGAAGGCAGAGCTCTCAACTCCTACAGTACTTCAATCCTTTCAATAAGGGAACCATGTTCAAATGGACCTAGGTAAAACAACTGACAAAAGGAGGGCATGGCAACCCAAAGAAAGCATGGACATAAAGATGGAGATAAAATAAATAGGAACAAGTTGCTAGGTATTTCCAACGGAGTACGAACTAGAAAGCTTGGTGTTTATTAGTCCCAAAGTATTATAATACTAATTCAGTTTCCTGGGACCAATGTTCTTACGGTAAATGGAAAATTAACTAATTGATTAAAAAATCTTAGTGTTAAGTAAACAAATATACTTGATAAATTCCATGTAAATTGAAGAAATTTGTCTGCTCTAATTCAGAAAAATATTAAGAACGGTTTTATGTTTTCCTCTATATGGGATTTATGGATGAAGTCTACAAGAGGGGAGATTATGGTAAATTAAGAATTATTGTTTGGTTGCAAACAAAACAATGCAATCAATAGATTAAGACTACAAATTCAATGCACTTTTTCATTTATTCAAATTTTCTGCAGGAAGTAAACACTGAAAGAATTTAAAAAACTTCACACTGCAATATGTACAGTTTTGCGACATTACATGAATAAGTCATGTCTTAATAAAATGAGAATTTTTATTTTTTTAATCAGTGAAAACTTCACAACAAAAAAGGCCGTATAAATCCCATAATTTGTATGTATTTCAATGCAAAACAAGGTTACATTATCTGAAAATACTGCAAAAAAAAATTCAGTGGCTTTAACTGTAAATTAAAAACTTAACAATATTTGTGATTGGGGGCAAGGATAGGATATTTTTGTTTAAAAGAAGGTAGTTCTTTTTCCCCAGGCTCTTTCATTTGAAGCACATTCTTTCACAAAGCTGAAATACCATAGCAAAGTCATGTTCAGAAACAGAATACAGTGATGTTGGATAATCTGGTTTTGACAATTTTTGTCATTGCAGAGATGCACAGGATCCCCCATGCATTTATCATGCAGCAATAATTACAATTTTAAATAAAACATTTTCTATACATTCCTCCAGACTTGCACTGTATACATACATGCAAAATGTTAAACCTATGCAATAATATTTACATTTATTAATACATGGAATATACAGAACAAAATGATTAAAATGTTAATTTCTTTGCATTTGATATAATACAAAATATGTATTTTAAAGAAACCACTATTTACATCAGTTTTTAGAAAAAAAATTAAACATGTTAAGAAGTCTACATATTTACATATGTATACATATATATATAGATATAAAATATAACTTGCCAGTTTATTCAACTAAGATGCAGCAGAGAATTAACTGGTAATATTTTGCTCTCATTAGTGATGGTCCAGGGGAAAATGAAATATTAACAAAAAAAATTACATATTTCTTGTTACAGAAAAATAATTAAAGGTGACTGAGCACACCCCAAAAATCAAGTATTTCTGATCTTAGAAATTACAGTAGATTTCTGCTATTTATTAGACCAGTCTCGTCCTGAAAAAAAAATGGTATTGCATTGAAACTCAGATTTCTTAAAGAAGTACATCTCTTTTCAGGCTCACTTGGAAAACCTAAAAAAACAAGTGAATAAATGGAGGTGTTGCACTTGTCCAAAATCTGAGTAGTTTTTATTTGCAGGTAGGCATGTATGTGATTCAGTTGTGCAACCCATGATTGTGAATAGTCACTTGGAAGTAAGCCCTATTATATTCATGGGGTCACAGCCAAGTGTGGAAAATAAAACATTTTTCTTAGTAAAACAGAATGCCAAACGTTGGGTAGATCTCAATTTATGATTGTTTTCATATGATGGAAGATTAAGATTAATATACTTTATTATTATTATTGTATATATTTTATGCTTTTGTAACTGAATTTAGGCAGGATTAGAGATTCAGATAGGATCAAAAGAAGAAATAAAAATAAAGAGGGAAACAGAAGGAGTGGATAATTCCTAGTTCCTAAAATAACTTTTAAAGACAATTGACTGCTTTGTTTTTTTAGCTCTCAGCCCTGAGGTCAAGCTGAAACTAAAGCACTTGCAGGAATATTTGCCTTTTCTTCAAATCAAACCTTTCTCTTCATTTAGCATCTAAATACTTAACTTATACTTAACTGCATTACATGAATCAAGTTCAGGTATGTGATTTATATACTTTAATTTTAACTGCAATTCTAAGTTTTGCTGTGTGAAGGAAATAAATGTTTGAGTTGAGACATTAAAGGTGGTATTTAAGGTTTACAGTTTGAAATATTTCTAATTTTATAGATATTTAGAAATTTCTAATATAAAATACTAAAATGCAATGCTAAATAATGATTATTATCAAAATAATGCATGTGTGGGTGGGTGCTGAAGTGGCAAGAAGAGTAAAGCAACTAAACGGTATTATTAAAAGTTACGCAAAAAGTTTTAGCCAGATTTTCATGCCAATTTGTTTGAGACACAATAAACCAGTCAAGCCCATTAAATATGATCTCAAATATAACTTAATAGTTGAAAAGTGAGATTCTATATTAAAATGGCTGATTCTAAATGCTGTAAGGCAAAGAAACACATAAAAAACTGATTCACAACTATGTGAATAAAATCTTTGGAACTCAAAAGAAGTTATATTTGAGAATACATTATAAGATTGCACCATAATAGTGCATTAATACAGGTCTATTGAAACTTGCAAATAATTCTATGCATGAACTATTCCATGCACAGAAAATTCATTTTTTGTTCCTTATGTGCCACCTAGGCCAAAGTATGTGTTGTTGAAAGTGGGATGGAAGAGACAATGGGCAAAAACAAAAGACATTTAAGTTGAGGAGAATAGTTAGAAGAAAAAGGGATTGGAATACAGAACAGGTAGGCAGGGGCACAGCTGTTGCCAATAACCTTGACCCAAAGGTACCTTTTCAAAAGGCAACTGGACTTTGGTTTTTTTTGACAAAGCTTCTCATCCAATAAACCTTAGTCTTCAACGAAACATCTTCAAGAAAAACAAAGTCCTGTTGTCTTTTGAAAAAGCACCTTTGGGACAACCATGATGACTGAGAATCTCCATAGACTAATATCCTTGAGTATACCCACCCACCCCTTGAATCTTCCCAGATCATTCTTTCACTAGTTTGATTGCTGCTGATGTACTTGCCTTCAAGCATAGCATAGTGAGAAGTAGAGAAAAGTTAGTAAAGGGAAGATTGGTAAATGACCTGATGTAGAAGGCTATGTAAAAGATAAAGGAGAAAAGAACAAGGCACAGTACGTAGCTTTGCACTATTCCTCTTGTAAGAGACTTCCAGATTTCAGTTTTGATGAAATCTACAAAAACCAAAATATCCTGAGCTTCAGTTCTGGTGAATCACAGCCACCTGGAATAATTCAGCAGAACTTCCAAGGCACAATGTGTATGTTCCATTTAAAAACAAACACATTGTCCATGTTTTACACTCATGCAACTAAAAAAAAAGTTCAATTTAATTTCATTGGGTTTTTTTGCACCTATAATGAGCATAGGACTTGAACTTCAATATTACACTTAAGATTTGAAGCAAGAAGCAAGTAATTTGCTGCTACTGCTATGGGTCATGTAATGGGTTGTAATGAGGGTTAGGTAAAATTATGAGAATAAAGTCACTGATGGCACCTGGATATTATGCTAACTTCTGAAAGAAATAATGGTCATTTCTGGGAAACATTAACTGGACGATGTTACGCTATTTACATTTTATTCATAATTCATCTGATGGCATATTAGTTATTGTGGAAATAAATTTCCGGATTTTCAATTAGAGTTGCCTTCTCATTTACTTTCAGCATAACCTTTCATTTTATTTAGATAAAATGTTATATATCCAATGATATATATGTTTATATAAAAGTTTAATCTGTCACCAATAACTATTACACACATATTTTCAACATAACTAAACCTGCTGAAATGAGCTGCACTAGGCTTGGCTTTTTGTCAAGATGCAATTTTACCAAATCCATGGAAGAATTGAATTGATCTGGATTTAATCATAATAAAAGATGTTACCAAGTAATGTCTTTGAAATGCAGAAAATTATATATAAAAGTACCAGTAGCTTTGGTACTTCAAAATTATAATTATATAGAATTTTAAACAATGCACCATTTTACTGGAACTAATCGAAATTTAAGTTATTTTTTTTTTAACTTTGTAATCTGTTTAATATGCATTTCATATCTAATGAAATAAATTAAACCAACAATTTTGAAGATAAATTTATTAATGATGTTTCTTGCCACTTTCCCCTCTAGGTATCTGGAATTCCATGAATCAATAAAATAACATCTTTCACACTACTGGATGCTTAGTTTATTTACCTTACATATTTTCCAGTTCTATATTCAAATTTAGAGTTTATTTTAAGGCATTTAAATGTGAAAATCAGTTTATCTCTCCAATTTACAATTCCTTTCTTATTGCTGGATAGAAAAAGTTGAAAAATGACCATGAGCTGGTTTAGATCATTTGACAATTTATGTATCTTTCATCTTAGCTATATAAATCTTTTATATATATGAATTCATGAAAAATAGATCACAATGATAGATTGACTATCATGATTTTTTTTTTCTTTTTTTAAGCATGAGTCTGGAATCTTTCAACTTTATTCATATGTTAATTTCTCTGGAAAATTTGAATAAATGTAAATAAAAAACAATTAATAGTAATGAAAGAGATTTATCTTTTACTGCCAGTAATTTATGATTCAGCTTCATTATTTTTTAAAGTCACAACCTAGATTTTAATTTATTTCAGCTGAGTGTCTAGGAAAGAGGCAACTAAAGAAAAGACAGTATTTCTTGTGGTTTTGTCAGATTATGCAAATACAAATTACAAGCTATTTGGAAGCACTAGAAATTTCATTGTGTACAATTCTCTAGTTAACACTGATAAGTATTACAAAACCAACAAATAAATGACTTGGCTTGGATGATGATCCATTTATATATATAAAAATATTCTTCACATTTTATAAATGAGCAGACAATGTAAGATGATAGTAGCCCAGTTGTGAGAGAAAATATATATGTTGAACAATGCACTTCCACCTTATATTTAAACCATACTGCATTACATGAGTAATACCAGTATCTCCAAAAAAGATCCTGTTTTACATATCTTACTACAGTTGCTTTTGTCTCTAGTTATTCCTACATTCGTCCAAGTATATGTAAAAAAATCTGCTCATGTGATTTCTTTTGTTTGCTATGTGTACAAATCACATACAGCTTTTTAAAATGTCTGTGATTTATCACTTTCATGGTTTTGAAACATGTAAGGAAAATATTATGGGTTTACATAAGCACATACTTATGTGCAAGGACAGTAATAGCAGTTACTCACTGAGTACAATCCAGCTGCAAATTACTCATGGACATTTATATAATTAACAAGTCATGATGACATGTATTGTGATAAATTTCCAGTAAAGCAAAAATAAAGAACTAAAGCTGTATGCATTTTAAATATCAGCAAAAAAATTTCATCAAATAAAACCATAGCTATACCATGCTCTTCTCAAATCATGCTAGATTTACATTATTTTATTCAACGAAAATATTTAAACCTGATTGTAAACACTTTGTAAGATTTTAACTTATTCGGGTTCTTTTTTTATTGTTAATACCTTTTCTAAGTGTCCATATATTTCTCCATTGTGTTGAATGGACACCTTATTATTTGAATGGCTACTGTATATATTTCTTCTATTAGGAAATGTTTTACATTCTGTGACAGGAGACAACTCTTTCTTCATTGTGACAGAAGATGAATTTTCTATAAATGATTTATCTCTCCAAGCATCTTTGCTATGGGTTTCCTGAATATTAATAGGGTTTCCTCCCTTTTGTAACATGTAATACAATATTGGATTAGTTTGGGTCAGTCTTGGGGAGTCTCTCTCAAGGTCATTTTTGTCAGAATCAGTGATGACCCATTTTAGAGGTCCCCTTTCATTAGGTACATGGCAAATGCTAAACTGGTCACATTCTGGTTTTGATGATACTGTGCCTCCCAAATGTTCAGTGAAGGGAGAACTGGCAGGACTCTTCATAGCAACTGAATATTGAAATGTTTGGTAGTCCAAGAAATTGCTTGGTTGCCCGGGGTTCCCCATGAAGGTATGCACAGGAGAAACATTGAATTCAGGTTTGTCATTATTTGTTAGGTTATGTTTGCTTCCTTTCTTTTTGCCATCTGTTACTGATAAATTATTTCTAAGCTGAGACATATCTTTTTCACAATTTTCTGATAGAAGCAGTTGTTTTAGCACATTAAATCCTTTACTTTCTCTAGACCAACTTCTGTTTTCACTTTCATTATTTGACCCATAACCTGAAGAATATTTTATTTCAAAATCAGTTTTGATGAACTTAGATTCTTTTTGGTTAAGACAGCTCCCATACAAAGCATCTGCACTAGACTTATGATTGTTCATGACATCAGATATTCTACCTTTATTACTTTTTAGTATTTTTAAAGGACCTTCTAAAGAATCAGAATGCAATTTTCTCTTTTTGGGGAGCATACTGTGACTTTTTGATTCCACAAAACTCTGTTCATGATTTCTCCTGTCCAGGATATCTGCAGAGCAACCATCTTGACTCTGTCTCAGCAATCGACTTAGAAGTCCATTCTTTGAAAAGGAAAAGTCTTGAGATGTAAGAGACTGGGACTGAAATTCTTCTGATGCTGGAGAAATAGCTATATTTCTCTCTAATGAATGAGTCATTTCTGGAATTTTTTTATGAACATTTTCAATTATTTGTTGAGCATTTGAATTCTGAAGGGCACTGGATTCTTCCTCAGAAGGCTCGGCTTTTATTTTTACAGTTAGTATTTGTTCATTCAAAACTTTTTCTGTTGGATCTTGTAAACTCTCGTCTTTTAAAAATATTTTTTCCTTTGTTTCATTCATATTTTTGTTGGAGGTTCCCAGAAGTAACTGAAGCACAGTGCGTCGTTCTAGCAGATTTTGGATTTCTGAACCGGGAAGTTTTTGTTCTCCTGGGAGAAACTGATTAGTGAGCATTCTGTTTTTTTCAAGTGTACATGATGCATTATGAAGCAGGGAAGTATTTAGTCCATCTATCAATCCTACTGGTTTCTCAGTGTTAGGAGTCATCAGTTGTTTGCTTGCTTGTCTTTGGTTATCCACTGACATGGAAGACTGCATCCCACATTGAGCTAAGTTTTGCAATAGTTTACTTGCACTGAAAGATGAAGGTGTTTGTAAAGTTTCTTTTTTATTCTGTTTACTTCCATGAAGTTCTTTGTGAATAGTAAGATCTATCAAGTGTTTAGAAGCTGAATTAGTTAGTCTTTCAGGCTGTATGATGCAGGTATATGGCGGTGAATTACATTTTACCATTAAAGGAGAATTGTGTGAAAGGTTGATAGGTGAATCTGCTTTTGCAGAAGTTTGCAAAGGAGGAGTATGTACTGGAATTATTCGATTAGTATTAGAAGAGTCAATAATAGGAGTTCTGTTACACATTGAAAAATTAAATTTCGCCACATCAGCTGGAACTAATGTTCCTTCGGTTTCTTTAACTTTGGGTGTATTTTCTTCTTCCTTATGGCCGAGTAGTAACTGCAGTAAAGTTACTTTTTGATGTGGATTCAATTTTGTATTTTTAGAAGTATCCTTTTCTTCTATGTTTTCCAGACATGGGACTTTAGATTCCCAATTATGAAACAAGGATTGAGTTAAATTTTCTAGCTGCCCTGAATCTTGAGTATTTGTTTTTTGTTTGAAAGACAAATCTATAGGAAGACAATTTGAATGGGAACTTTCATCATCACTACTATCATCTTCTGTAAAACTTGGGTTGTTGTCAGAATATTCATCAACAGTGGTTGGTGTACTGCTTTCCTCAAAAATACTGGACCTGTCATTTTGTTCATATCGCTTGGTCTGCTTAGTAGTACTATGATTTTTCAGGAGGTGCAAAAGTAAACTACTGTTAGTAGGTGGTTTCATATGACTTTTTTCTGATGTTTTGTAGTTTATAATTTTCGGAGATGAATGAATTATGCCCATATGTCTCTGAAAATTTGTGATATTGCTTTTATTGTTTATTGTTTTGTTTGAACATCTTGCCTGACCATTCAAATGGCTTTCCATTCCTTTTGATAGTTTAAAATGACTAACATCTTTTGGAGCAGTTTCTTTTAATCTTGCCATAGCAGAAAGTCTCTCACTTGCGATTTGATTAGCATTTTGTGCTTTTAGAGCATGTTCCCTGGAATACTGCTGCAAGTGTGCTTCACTTGAAAGAAGCAAAGCAAGTTGGCTACAGGCAACACTTGGTTTAGGGGATGCAGCAGGACTAGATCTTTTTTCTACCATGTTTGCAACAGCTTGTAATCTTGCAGCACAAGAAAGTGATTCATTCATCGCTTTTGAACCACTCTGTCCTGAATGTGTAGATTCTTTAAACCGATCTTGAACTAGATTTGTTGTTAGCTCTGGCAGACCAGTCTCCAGTTTCTCATCTTTCAATTTGTTTTTCTTTAGCAAAGTTTTCAAGTGACTGGATGCAACACCATAGCACCTCAAGTCTTTCTCTACCTGCGAGGAATCATTGCTGAGCGAATACCCTTGCTCTTTAAGGCTCTGCTTAATTTGTTGCGACAAAGCAACACTCTGCAACCTAGAGCTAAATGACTGTAGTAAGGAAGCCAGCAACGTGCTATCTTGCTTGCTTTTAGGCACATTTTCAACCATGCCAGCCAACAATGCTTCTTTTTTCTCATTTATATCCACAAGAGAATCAGATAATCGCCCTTTGTTTTCAGCATTCCAGTCTTCAGAAGACTGTAGCAATCTTGCCTTTTTATGATGCAACATTCCAGAACTTCTATATGTATGTGTGTTAGGAACACCATCTCTCTGACAGCTGGGAGATGCATTTCCAGAAACGCTGAAATTCTGATCTTCAGCATTACTAGTAGGCTTTTTGTCAACCACAGAACCCGAACCTCCGGCTGTCTGATGCATTAGTAATCCCTCTAAGTAAGTTAGAACAATGGAATCTTGGTGCATCTCAGAGACAAGATCTTCTCCATGAGTCATGTTCAACACAAGTATCCACAAAAGCTCTCTTTTTATTCCACTTAGGATCTACTGTATTATATGTGAACTGAAATTTAGCTCAGCAAATAAATGTATACTTTTCCCCCCAAATCTGATGCAAGATAGATGCAATAGTCTTTTCCAGATCTTTCCATTAAGTATTTGTAGAAGATGCAGTGTTCCATTTTTCTCTGTTTTAATATACACAATTTATGAAGTCAAGGGACTATTTAAAATATGGTGCCAGGTTAAAAATATTTTTTAGGAATTGACAATAATGTTTTCCATCTTCTTTCATCATATTACGAAGACTTGATTCCTGTAAAATAAAAAGAAATAAAATCAAGCCAAATCAGAAAATAAATTACATTACATACAAACAGGTATATTTCAAGATTCTATATACAACTTCAGCGAAACCTTCCTATATAATTTTATTCCCCTTCACTTGATTTTGAAGAGCACTGGAAGCTGCAATAGCTTTGGAATGCAGTTGTGTGGGCAATTTATGAGTCGTTCCACAGTCCTAATAAACAGATCAATACTCTTTAAAAAATCTTGATCAGGATTTCTATTAGATTGATGAGAAATTTAGAAAAGTTGTAGACTGACCATTTACACTAGTTTAGAAATGGTAATGTTTCCAGTTTTTGGATTAATAGGTTTTAATAATAACTCTATGAAGTTCAAAGAAAGGTATGGGTTTATTTTTTAATGGATGATTATTCCACAATTATCATCATAAATAAGTCATAAATAACACATGGTAGAAGTAGATATAGCAGTAGTTATATACAAAGTAAACTTTCACATTTGGCGAAAGAGAAATAACATATGAAGTAGTATGCATAATAGTCAGATAGTACAGATAGTATCAACTTATGGCTGGTTGCTTAAGACCATTCAAAATTATGATGGTCTCAGAAAAGTTATTATTATTTATTAAAAAAAATTTGCTGCTCATCATGTGGTAACTTTGGTCAGCTTAGAATATTAAAAAGAATAACACAACAGAAAAACCTGTATACAATAACAATAAAATACTATAAAAACAAATTATCAACTTTAACTAAAAGGTGGGGAAGGAGGATGAGCGGGAGGGGAGATGGGATTAATTTAATTTCTCAACCACCTCCAGTGTGATGCTTCCTCAGTTCTTTATGGCTTGTAAAGCACTTCTGGCCATCATAAAATGTTGTGCTCTCCCATCACATGGTAATCTGACTGTATTTTGGGTGCTTGCCAACCAGCTCACCTTTATGACTGGTTGCAGGGTTCTGCAGTCACATGACTGCACTTTGCAACATTTTTGTTGTTTCTGACATTTTTTGCCAATTTCCAGCAAAAAAAGCCATTTGTAAAAATGTGTTTGCAATTACAACTGTAATATTCATTTAATGACCATGGATTTGCATAACGTTTTCAGTGATTTGCTTAAAGACCACCACAAAAAATGTAAACTCAGGTCCATTCATGTGGGTGCCTTAATTTACAACCTAATAACTTATACCTGGAAATCAAGTCTCAATTGTAGTCATAAGTGAAGGACTACCTGTAGATGCTGAGGTGAGGTAATTCATGAGGAATGAGAGACATTTAAACTTTTTAAGGTACTCGAAGAAAGTTAACTATTATTCACTCCTGGTGATCCATGGGGAAATAAATTAGATAATTGGATGAAGCATTGATTGGTCTTCCAAACACTAGGCACTTTAGAGGAAATCATTAATGTGCCTAATTTAAAAAAAATATTAGAAGGAAAAAAAACCCAAACACAAGAAATCTGTAAAAATGATAAGAGATTTTTTTGATAAGTTCTCCATATTAAGAATTTTCTTTCCTCAGGAAGAAACACAAATCTGTACTCTCATCATAGCTCCTCACTTTACTAATTGTAGGAAAACCAGTTTCAAAAAATAGTAAAATCCTAACCTTAACCTAAATGACTACAAAGAAAACTCCAGATCTGACATGAAATGTTCTATTCATTAATTATTGTATTAAAATTATATTCACAATTGTTTACATATATGTAATGCCAACAGAAGGTATATCTAATCCATTATAGATGAAACATACTATAATCTTATCAGTATTAGCTACAATAAAATCCATTCTTAAATATAATAGCATACTATTATACATATAATAGTATAATAAATGTAATAGCATAATAAATGGTTCAAACAAAACCAGATAAATTATATTTACGTGGAGCGTAATAATAATCAGGCACATTTACCGGTAGCTTACTTCCTCTTAAAAACTGTGTTTTTTAGTACAGGATAGATACAAACTTTAGCAAGCAATCAGAATTGAAAGAATATATAATTAGAATGAGCCTACTTAAACATTTAAGCACTTTTGGTCAGTCAGTGGATGACAAGAGAGCCTGGCATATTACATACCATGGAGTAATGAAGAGCTGGATACAACTTAGCGACTGAAGAACACTTAAGCAATACCTAACTTAAAACTGAGGAAAAGAGACTAACGTTGAAAATGATTCTTAATTACTATACTATTTTTTTTAAGTATCAATTTACTCAGAGCTTAATAGTAGTCTTTAGCGATCTTAAGTGGTCTAAATCTGAATGAGCCCTTTTATCTATATTTAGATTTTGAAATTATCTATGTTTCCTTAAAAAAAGGCAAATGCTCAGTATTCAGCTGGATAGTTTAATAAAGATGGGTGTTCTCAATTTTACTAGGCTTCTTTAAAAGTCATTATGACTAGATATTCTGCACCCAAGGTTCATTAATTAGAGGATTATTTTTATACTATAATTTTTTCTTGTTTTCAACTGTCAGCCTGTTTTGATCTCTAGATATATCTATATATAAATCTAGATTTAAATATTAAATAATATAAAATATTGTTTATATTCTAGAAACTTGAACAAGTTATTAAAAAGTTTTTAATGGGAAAGATAAGCACCTTAATTTTATTTTAATTATTAGTAAATTGATCGTGGAAATTACAACATTCCTCATTTTTAGTTTTACCATTTTGAATTACATTTCTCTTTTTTTAGTTGTTTAGTCATAATGTTATTGTATTTATTTGAAAGGTTTGGGGAAGGAAATGTAATTCTGACACTTATTTACATGATAATCTTACACATTATAAGAAACTTTGAATCCTAGTGGGGGGATGTTTTATGGTAAAATTCATGACCTAATAGGAATGCAGTACTTTAGATCATCAACTAATGGGCAATCAAGTTTGAGATTTTGATTTATTACTATTTGGACAACCCAAAACGAAATGAAAGTGTATACAAATATAATAAAGCAATCTTATCCTGATTTTTAGCAGCTGTGAGTTACTAACTGAACCAGAAATTTGTCCTGGATTATTACAAATTATTACAAATTTATAGCATTTAAAATTTAAAATATATTATTAAGGTGCAGTATTAATTTGGATTGAGTTCATACCACGTGTCTTAAAGAATATTAAATATAATTATTGTCTTAAGAAGATTCTTAGTTCAAGAATCTTATTGGATGCAACAGATAATGCTTTGATTGAGCACAAACACACTGCAGCAACTTGGAACACCAGAAAAGGGAAACAAACCGCCCATACATCATTTTCCAACAAAATGCATACCCATTACATCACAAGCAATACAAACTATGAAAAGGAGAACATGACCATATATCAAAAATATCTCAGAAACAACAACAGACTATTGCAACCACACAACATCACTGTAGCAATCAACTCAAATAAACTCCTCCAAAACATCTTAAATAAACCAAAAGCCCTAGTAGTCCATAGGAAAACATAGGAGTTATCTATAGTATAAGGCCCATAACAAGCACTGTGAAAGACAGGCAGGCAGAAGACTAGCAGAGCACATTTGTGAACAACAGCTAGGGGTCAGAAGACACAATGAAAGCCTTAATTTCAGAACACATGACTAAAACACAATTTCAATTGGGAAACAGTGAGTATCTTACCAAGCAAAATTTAAAAATGTTAGGGAATTCCTGAAAGCTTGGCATTCAGAAAATTAGCTATCAACAGACACATAGAAAAATAAAACATATTTACATACGGTTCAAAACAAACAACAAAAGCTTAAAAGGAAACAAAAAGACCAGAACACATTCCCTCCAGCAGATAAACAGAGAATAACACAAGTCAATCAAGCAGGAAGCAACAGTACAACGGATTTACACTCACTAGCACTGATGCTACCTAGTTGATTAATGAAACATCACATATTGGCTTTGCCTTTAGAAAATGGTTTAAAGATGCGATATAACTCTTGAATTGTAATACAACAACCTGGTCACATCATCAAATATGGAAATAGCAAAAATGGCTATCCTTTTATAATAGAAAGACAATCTGGAATTTATCATGTATTCACTCTCTAATTATGAATAATTTCTTTATTGATGTAATGGAGAGACTAATGAATATTACTCCTTATTTGATCTATGTGCATATATTAATCTGAAATGGACAGCTTGTAAAAGCTAATGCAGCTTTTTAAAAAACTGTTTTCTATATGTAAATTAATATGGTTTTGCTTTCTTGATTTAATTTTAAAATTTATTTATCTTGAAGAAAATAAAGTATTATAGGATTCGTGCATTTTACAAGCCATCTTAAAGATCATTTAATTATTTCCCCCCCATCAATAATTTTAGCATTTATTTGGTGCAGACTGTTCTTTACATCTATAAATTTATATAATGCATACTAAAGGTTAATCATTAATACTTATACTAAATCAAAACTGAATAGTCCACAGCTTTAAAATGAAATGTGAAAAATATATTTTTATTTCACAATGTTTCTATGTACTACTGAAAAAAACAAGCAAACTTAGAACAAATGTATAAACTATTGAAAACTGCTTAGTCATGCACATGAAATAGGTGGTCACATAAATTCAATTATGAAATCTATTTAGTAACTATGAAAATAATTTAATAACCATAAAACTAACCTTTAATTTTCTTTATATATTTATATTTTTCTTGCAGCACCAAAGTTGATTATTTAACATATAATAAATCTACAGCAATGATCAAAGTAACAGCTACATCATCATGAAAACCTTTTAGCAGCGTCCCAATTTTACAATTGACTACTCCATACTTCACTTTTCTTTTCCTAATTATTAAAGAAGCTGTGAAAATTCGAATTTAATGGAAATCCTCACCTGCTCTCTTTATATAGCAGACACATACATTCTTTTCTTTTATTGGACAACATGTACATTTTGAAAAGAGAAATAATTTGTTAGTGACATGTTTTTTAAGCAACACTTGTTTGAAATCTAAACAGCATAATAA